CCGTAACTGGAAAGCTGGTTTGGAAGTACAGCAACTGCGACTTGAACCAGTGCCCACATAGGATGCTGGCACTGCAGGTGGAAGATTAATTTGCAATGTCGCTACACCAGCCTCCAGAACTCTTTATTCTGGTTCTCTTCTGATTTAGTTTTTTGTGATCATGAATATGCTCGAATAGGAACATTTGTAGCTTATAGAAGAGTATTCATTGAAAAGAAAAAGCTTTCTGTAAATCAAGAGAATTGACTTTGTAGTCATTCTCTTCAATTTCCCCATCAGTATAACTTTACCTCTCGAATGCCTCTTGGCCTCTTTGGTGAAGCGTCTTAGTGCTGACCGCTGCCTGGCGAGATTTCACCATCTGTGCCCTCTCGGGTCAGTGCTAGTAGGCAACGGAAACCAGTGTGTGCCCGTGGGAGGCCTCACTGAGATCCTGTGCTGTCCCCTATTCTAGACAGCACTTTAGAGATGTGTCTGAGGTTTTATGCAGGTATGTGGCAGCAGGCCAGAGGCTTCTCCTGGTTTAAAAGTCACAGACTTATGTAAAGATAAACAAAAATAAGAATAAGTTAATAGACAAATAGAAGCGGCCACACTAAGAAGTTCTCTAGGGAAGTTCTCAGGGAAAGGAGAGAGACACATGGCTTTTAGCTATACTTGATGCAGATTTGATGTTAGAAAATCTTGGGAATCAGGGACACCATATTCGGTTTCTGCTTATCATTTTTGCATTTTCTCTTTTTTAAAACAGATTTATTTATTCTTATTTAAAAGGTAGATTTAGAGAGAATGTGAGAGAGAGGTGGTCCTCCATCCACTGGTTCACTCCCCAAATGGCCACAACTACCAGAGCTAAGCCAACCCCGAAGCCAGGAGCCACGCGCCTTCTCTGAGCCTCCCACGTAGGTGTAGGGTCCCAAGGTTTTGAGCCATCCTCTGCTGCTTTCCCAAGGCCACAAGCAGGGAGCTGGATGGGAAATGGAGCAACCAGGACATGATCCAGTGCCCATGTGGGATGACGGCACCACAGGGTGAAGGATTAGCCTGTAGAGCCACTGAGCTGACCCCACACCTACATTTCTGATTGTAAGAGGAAAATATGTTCATTACAGTATTCCTACACTCAAAAGATGGGAAGAAAAAAATACTTTCTAGTTCTACCTTCAGTGCATGTTAGTGCATTGTATATTTCTCTCCAGCTTCTTGATGCACATTCTAAGCCTTCCAAAAGCCCAGCAGTCCATCCTGGATTTTTTTTTTTTTCCACTTTACAGTTGAGATGAGTTGATTTGTGGCATTGACGTGTGTGTATGTGTCTCCCCTTACTGGATTGTATTGCCTGCAGAGATGAAGGAAGCACATAATCAGGGAGGTGTCTATGGATGGCAAAAGCAGTGAGAAAGCAAAAGAAAATTGTCTACTGATCACTTCCTGCTGACAGCAAGAATCATTTTTTTCATCTTGGGTTACTAAACTTTGTCTTGCTAAGCAAGATAAAGTGGTTGTTGAACAGATAAGGAAGACAATGCAGAGTCGCAGGTGTAAATACCATAATACCAGCTTCTTTGCAGAGGAGACAGAAGCACGAGGGTTCTTTTCACGGCAGATGTTGAGAGAAAGAAGGTTGCAGCCCTAAGGAGTGGGACTGAATAATCCAACACCACGCATGTTACTTTATTGGGACACCATGTAGAGTCCACTTCTCTCTGTGTGGTGTGTCTGATCGAGACACAAAACTTAGGAAGGGCCAGAACTCCATGTCCCTACGGGTGCTGGTTTTTTATCCTTCAGCATGTGTGCTGAGAAGCAGGGTGTGGGGTGAGTTCCACTGCTGCCGACTGGTACAGGAGGATACTTCAAAACGCATATCATGGAAAATGACATGCCTTTTGAAACAGTTTTTTTTTTGCGTCAAAATACATTTGTTTCTTAAAACTTTTATTTTTCCTTGGTCTCTTAAACTGGTCCTTCCTATGAGAGAATTTGCCAAAGGCACCACTTCTTCAAGAAGCAGGCCTTCTGTCTGGTGAAAACTTGTGTTGCACTGTCCACTACTGATTTCTTCTAACCTTTTCCCACAATTATCTTACAAGTAGGTGATCCCCACAGTTGCAATGTGAATACTGCCCCTCCCTCACCTCCCAGGCTCTCTGTCAACTCTGAGGTCATGTGCAGCATGGAGCTGCGTGTGCAGCGGCCTCTTCAAGGCCGAGTAGGCCGCAGGAGACCGACTTGAGCCTGCGTTGTGACTGCTAACACCCCTCCCACTCCCTCAGCTGAAGCTATTACCTTCCATTTAGTCATTTAGCAAGTGTTTGTTGAAGTGTTTGAAAAGAGCGCTCTCGGTGCTGGGCCTGTGCAAATAGAGATGAATATGCTGTGGTGCTATGCTCTGGAAGTGTCCCATCAGACAGTAAACCTGGGTGGTGATTGCAGAGATAAAAGCCACCTAGGGGAGTCTGGGACATTTTTGGTGCAGTTTTACCAGGTTCAAGATTAAGGTGAAGTGAGTGAACCAATGTCATATGAATCCTGGGCAGGGTCTTGTCTTTTATTTAAAATGCTGGCACTTAGGCCCTGCATGATGGCTCATGCCTTGCATGTGCCAGGATCCCATATGGGCACCAGTTCATGTCCTGGCTATCCTGGTTGCTCCACTTCCCTTCCACCTCCCTACTTGTGGCCTGGGAAAGCAATGGAGGATGGCCTTGAGACCCTGCACCTGCATGGGAGACCCAGAAAAAGCTCCTGGCTTCTGGCTTCAGATCAGCTTTGCTCTGGCAGTTGGGGCCACTTGGAGACTGAACCAGCAAAGAAAGATCTTTCTGTCTCTCCTCTCTGTGGGTTTACCTTTCCAATAAAAAACAAAATAGCCTGACAGTTGGGATGCCTTGTATCCTGTGTTTGAACACGTGGTGGGTTTGCTTTCTGGCTTGAGCTTCCTGCCAGTGCGGACCCTGTGATGTGGTGGTGGTGACACCAGTTGCTGGGCTACTGCCACCCACATGGGAGGCCTGGGCTGAGCTCCTCCAGGCAAATAGCTTTTCTGCACTCAAGTTCAGAGCCCAGTCTGGAGCGTGCTAAGCTAACAATTGCCTTCTGGAACAAGACTTATCTTTCATGTTGGGAATGTCTTCTTTTGGCCAATCTTTAGAAAATGCCTACTATGTGCAAGGCACGGTCATGGTCTCTGAAATGACGGAGGTGAAGAAGGCAGTGTCCTGTCTGTTGGACGACTTGGATTTGGGTGAGGACACATAGGTAAGTGGACAAGGTCATGTAAATTTTCAACAGGTAATAAGAACAATCTGCAAGATGACAGAACAGGGGTTGCGACAATGCTCAAGGGAGGGCTATCTAAAACAAACATTTACATTGAAAAAAAAAAAAACCTTAAATATTTATTTGAGGGCTTGGGAAACCGAGAGAAAGCAAAGCTCATGGGTCCACTCCCAAAGTGCTGACCATGAATCTGGAAGCTGGATCCCGTTCTTTCACATGATGCCTCGAGCCACACCTGCTGACTCCCACAGGCAGCACGTCGGAGTCTGGAGCAGAGTATTGAATCCAGGACTCAGCTGTGGGATGCAGACACGCCAAGCACTAGGCTCCATGATGCACCCCGGGGAGATACGTTTTTTAAAAAGGTTTATTTATTTTATTACAAAGTCAGATATACAGAGAGGAAGAGAGACAGAGAGGAAGATCTTCTGTGGCTGAATCACTCCCCAAGTGGCCTCAACGGCCAGAGCTGAGCCAATCCGAAGCCAGAAACCTCTTCTGAGTCTCCCATGTGGGTGCAGGGTCCCAAGGTTTTGGGCCTTGTTCAACTGCTTTTCCAGGCTACTAGCAGGGAGCTGGATGGGAAGTGGGGCCATCGGGATTAGAACCGGCACCCGTATGGGATCCTGGCGGCTTCAAGGAGAGGACTTAAGCCTCGAGGCTACTCTGCCAGGCCGGAGATGATATTTGAGCTGAAACATCACTGCTAAGTGGACACCACAGCTGGCACCTTTCAGACTTCCAACCTTTTTGCTTGTTGACAGCTAATCTTTAAGGAGCCCTTCATTTGTGCTGTTCCAACAAGTGTGCATGTCCTAAGCCATCTCCCGTAATGACACTAGGGGAGAGGAATCCTGTTAGCTCCTTTTTTTTTTTCAAGAACTAAGAGGACAGAAGCACAAAGAGCTTAATTAGTTTGGAGAGATCACCAGTGAGTATGTGATGGAAACAAGGAACAAAGGTTTGAGTGCTTGTAGGCAATTACTTCGTGAGCATCTACTATATCCAGGCAGTATACAATTAGGGACATAATTTAGTACTGTCCTCCTTTATCAGCATCGAGTGAATGTTAACTGGTTCACAGGTATGTGGCAGACTTTTAAATTCACCCAGCTGGGAGGTGGGCTGAGTAATGAAACTGTTCTATGCGTGGATGGTGGTGGTGGTTACTCCATGAATTTGGCAAAACCGGAACACCTGTGCACACAAATGAGCGCATTCTAATCTGTGGGATTTGTATCTTAAAAAAAAAAAATTCTAACCCCATCCTAAATCTCCACCCCTCTACCCCCAGCTGCAGCGGCTCGGGGACGCGAAAGTGGTCCTTTGCCCCTCATTTGGGTGACTGGACTAAGGCAGCCAGGTTAGGGGGCGGGTCCAGGTGAGCGAAGCGGTCCCGGAAGCCCGGGCCAGGGCGAGAGTAGCCGCGCGGCCAGGGCTGGGGAGGGGATGGGAAGAGCCCGGGACACGGGGCGAAGCGGGGCGGGCGGGGGGATGCCGGGAGAGAGGGAGGGACCTGCGGGCTGGGGAGGGCGAGGCCGCGGGAAGGGAGGAGGGGGAAGGCGTGCGCTCCGGAGCCTGCCGGGGGCTGCGAGGCGGAGACAGCCGAACCGGCAGCCGCCGCCGCGCCCAGGGTGCCCGCTCAGGCGACCCGCCTTCCCGAAGGCTGCGGCGCGGACGGACCGACGGACGGCGCTGCGTGCTGGAAGCGCCCGGCCATGTTCAGCCGAAGCTCCCGGAAAAGACTCTCGAGCCGCTCGGTGAGTGTCCCCGACCCGAACGGCGCCCTTCGCCGGGTACCAGCAGTCAGCCGCCAGCGCCCGTGCCCAGCCCCCCTGGGCCCCACGGCCGCGCACCTGTGGCCCCAGGTAAGCGGGCGGGGCGCGCGCGAGAGCGCAGGAGGCGAGGGAAAGGGCCCAGACCCGAGCTTCCCCACGTACACCTCAGCTGGGGTTGGGCGACAGGGAGCCCCGAGCGGTGGCCCTGAATGTCACAGTCGGGGCGTGCCCGGGAACCCCCTCTCCACCTCCCTTCTCGCCCCCTCGGTTCTCCTCGAGGCAGACGGGAATCCCAGGCTGGGAACTGCAGCCTGTGCGAGCTCTAGTAGCTCCAGGACGTGGACTTTAGGGCTGGCTTTTGGGTTGCCCTCTGCTGCCCCCTTCGTAGGAGCCCCAGCCCGCACCAGAGAGGGCGGGCGCGCGACGGTCGCTTCCCGGGGACTCTGGAGGGAGCAGAAAGGTCTTGCTTTTGTTTCCTAGAAACCCGTGTCCAAGGTGCCCGGAGCAGACAAAGCCCCAGCCTTTGCCATTTCTTAGTGGGTCGGTGCTGACTCTGGACCCAGCCCTCCGGGAACCACCCTGGGGGCCGCGACAGTGCCCTGCCCCATGCCCACTTCTCATCCTACCCATTAGGGACAGCTGAGTCACATCACAGCAGCTGAGTTTGAGGGGAGTTGGGGAGAAGGGTTAGACCCTCCAGCCTGGGACCCCAGTGGGAGTCTGGAGGGGGCCCCCGTGGTGGAGACATGCCTGTGTTGTCTTTTTGTTTTGAAGTTGACCGGTCCTGGGCGGATAGAGAGAGGCCAGCCCTGTAACGCCTGCGGTGACCAGTGCCCCGGGTTCGCCTTGCATAAATGGAGGTAGGATGCCCTGACCTTACTACACTGCAGGGAGTAAATACATAAATAAGCAAACGAGTCCCCTATTTTCCCATCTCACTTTTAAGTCACATGGAAAGAATGCAAAGGCTGTTCCTTTAAGAGCAGGGCTACATCTGCTACAAATATTGAAGGTGGAAGTGGTGGCCAGGCACCCCGGGTGGGGTGGGGGGACAGAGGAGAGGGGGTGCAGGCTGCATCCCCCTTCCCATACATGTGAGAGCGTCTCCTCTGTGTGTAGGTGACTCAGCCACAAACACCGCAACCTGGCCGTGTTGCTAAATGCCACCGTGCAGCTTGTGCGCGCCGTCTGCACAAGCTGGTATTTTCCAATTGTGTTTTTCATTCAGCCTCTGTAACTCTGGGTCCCAACCACAAATCCACCCCTGCCCGCCCGCCTGTGCTGTGTCAACCCTCTTCGGTGGCCAGATGTTTCTTATTAATGTGCCTTGGCTGTTGACTCCCAGGCAGCCCCAGCCTGTCTTGGAATGATTATGCTTGGGAGACCAGGGATCTGGGTACCCTCCCTGTGCATCTGGTTGCTTGGGGCTCCAGCTGGGAAAAGTTGGGGTGCGAGCTCTCTGATGGCTGGTGGAAAGAGAGGACTTGGTGATTTGTCCCTTGTTGAGCAAAAACTCAATGGCGGGAGACATAATTGCTGAGTATCCTAAACTGCCTGCCCTTGATGGGGGTACATGGGGGGAGGTAGGAGGAGGGGCGCCCCTCCCCCTTTTCTTACCCCTTCCCCCATGTGCCCCTTTGAAGAGGGCCATTTCTAGACACTGACAACAAAATGGGCTTTTCCCCCTCGCTCTCCCCGACTCCTCCTGGCCCCAGCTTGTGCCTCGCTCCTTTCTTCCCGATTGTCATGTGTGTTGAGCACCCAGTTATCAGAAAACCCCCACCTGGCTCCTCACAAAATGAAATGCTTTTGTTCCTGCCTCTGATGGGTCTGGCAGCCTCTCTGTCTTTGTTTCAGGGCACCAAGTGCAACCCTTATGGCTCTGGGGCCTTTAATAACTTGTGTGTCAGAGTCCAGGCAGGCGACCTTATAAATATGTAATTGGCAGCCATAGGCAATCATCAGTGGTGCCAACGGTGTGTGGCGCAGAGAGCCGGGCTCTGGACTGCCCACTGGCTTCTCCTAAATGTGTGAGTGGGGGAAATCTGTGGGAACAGGTGTGGAAACCTTATGTTGGCTAGCACCTATTCCAGTGTGGCCGCACTCCAGATATGGCCACTTAGATTCAGGAAGAACATAGGAGACAGTGGTTTCTAACGTCCCTTCCCTCCCTACTTTGCAGTAGCCAGAGTCCTGGGCAGGAGAGATGCTGTGTAGGTGTATGTGGGGCCTGGCTCCTCTCCCTCCCTGGCTGTGACCTCTGAACTCTCCCTGGTTGTCGTTTTGCCTAGCTGTTAAGTGGGACAAACAGTGGTCCCTGCATCTAGAGTGTTAACATAGGGAGTGTGTGATTACTGAGACTTCCATTTTTGCCAGCCGTGAACTTTGCTCATTCTTAGTTTCCTTAACTGTTAAGTGGGTCTAACAATGGTGCTTACCCCTAGGGTGTTATGGTCGGGCTTATATGAGCTATTGGAAGCATTTTGGGCCAGCTACCAGGTACCAGTCAGGGGTGGGTATGACGTTCATGGAAAATGGAATTAAGATGTAAGTCTTTTGGGGTGTACAAGAATTGTGAAATCCATGCCTAGGCTGTATCTTCAAAAAATTATGGAAAATGTGTGTGTGAGATGAAAAACTATGGGTGAAATTTAAGTAGGCTCGTGGCACATAGTCATAAATGCCTTTTCGTTTCCTCCACACTGCTGCTCAGTAGGAGACATGATTCCTAGTGTGGTTGGTGCAAAGGTGGCCAGGGCCCCTTCAGACCTTCACCACCGTGTCTGTTAGGAGAACCTTAAGTAACTTGAGTCCAGCTGCTTTTGTGATGGGAAACCAAGCCCATTCTGGAGCTTTTATCTCAAGAGAAGCTCATCAGGCTCCATGGAGTTGTCACACAAGAAGTGGTTTCCCCACCACCAGCAGAAATACCACCTGGTGATGCCATGAGTGGGGGTGTGATGGCTTTTCTAGTGTTTTCTGGACAGGAAGCAGCCCTTTACCCTGGCCTGGCCTTCTCCCCAGGGGCATCCTCTGGGGTGACATTTTGGAGGAGAGGGACATTCTTCTCTGGGGGACAACACAGTCTTCTCTTTGGCAGTTGCAAATCCACTTTGCACTCCTTGGACCAGGGACACTCACTGTGAGCTCTTGGGAGAGAATTTGGTAGGAAAGTAAGGTTGCCTTGGGAACCAGAGGAGACTGGGGCTCACCTTATCCACACCTCAAACAACCCTAAGGTTATCACTGGAACCCTGCAGCCTCCTCTTCTCTGGGCTTTCTGCTTCTACCCCGGTCCCCTCCTGTCTATTGTCTACCCAGCAGGCAGCCTTTAAAAACGGGACATGATTATGTGACTTCCTCGCAGCATGAAAGCCCTAACCTTTTAGGAAGCATGTTGTAAACAAGTTGGGCTTCCCTCCAGTGTGATGGGGAGGCCTGGGGCTTTGAAGTCCTGATGGAGCTGATGGGCACATGTCGTGGCTTTGACGAGGCACGTGACTTTGGGCGGAGGACTTCAGCTGCCCAAGTCTTGTTTTCCTTCCTTTCCAAACTGAGATTTCTGCACTGAAAAATATTTGAGGGCTAGCTGTGAGTGCCAGGTGCCCTGCTGGTGCTGAGGAGGCCACAGAGAAGAAGTAGACAGGACCCTGTCTTCATTCTATAGGTAATTCACTGGAGAGAAGGACTCTGAGCAGGTGACATATGAGCAGAGGCTGGAGTGAGGCAGGAAGGAGGATTATGCTGAATCAACCCTGCTACAGGAGCCACCAACTCTGCCATCTCCTTCCTGGCAGCTTGAGAGACAGGCAGAGCCCCAGGTGCCAACCAAGACCTACTGCATCAAGGCTCGACCCAGATACCCTAGCTGATCGGTGAAGTTGAGAGGCACTGAGTGAATACACCTTCCATGGTGTTTGGCAAATTGTTTTTTTGTCCACTCTGATTCTTTTTCTAGGCAAAAAATGATACCCACAGACTTGCTGAAGTCTGATTGTGTGTGTGTGTGTTTCCTGAGTGATATATTCTTGCTTCTTATTTTTATTGTCTCCCATGACTTTTGGAGGCAGATGTGAAGGATTTTAGGTTTTCTAAAACCCATAGAGGTTGTAAATTCTGAGCCAAGAACATTTTCCCCCCACCATGAGGGCAGCTGGGGCCAGGGAGCCCCTGTTGAGGTACAGGTGATATAGCCTGGGAGAAATATCACCCAGGGTGGGCTAGGGCTGCTGGGTCACAGAGAGAATGCTCTGGAAGAGCAAGAGTAAAGCTTCTCTATGGATAATGCCCGCCACACACTCATCAATAACTGAGCACTTAATGTCCTGTGCTACAAGATAGCTTTCTGGGAACCAGTTAATTGGGTTTGCTTGTTTGCAGCCCACTTGAGCAAGGAGAGAAAAATGGCCAAGTTCACCGTGAAGAATCGCTCTCTGCACATCCAGGGGCTGATGAACCATAATTGTAGCGTTAATAATATCAAAACAACACCAGCAATAGCAATAGCAAGCGCAGACTCTGGTGTTGTGTTTCTGTGTCCTCCATTCATGTTCCCTTTCTTCCTCAGTAGGACCAGGCAGGTGGATCTGGCTATTTTCCTGTTGAGCAAATGCATGCTCAAGGTTGTTGTAGAACTTACCTGAGGTCCCTTGGCCAGGGAAGGTGATGCGATTTCTCTTCTAAACCCGGTTCTGTATGCTTGTGGCCCATTGTCTCTTCCTGCTAACTTGAAGTCACTGCCTACAGACCAGTTCCAGGCTGAAGATGGATTTTGTTTGATCTACGCAACAGACAAGGGATCTTTAAGAAGTTTGTGGAAAGTAGAATTAAAAGACAAATGTATTTCAAGGTAAAGAATTGGAAAAAATCATGCATCTCCCTCATGTGTATCTTTAGTGGACATTTGGAAGATCCATTTCAAATCCAGCTGTCCAGCTTTTCTTGGAAAAGCTAAAGCTGTAGCAACATCAGGGCTACTTGAGGCATGGTTGTTTTCCCTTTAGATTGGCATGACCTTGACTCATCATAGTGCCCAACATTATAGCAGCTTTAAAAACATCTTCAAATATTTACATTATCTGTGAGGTGCTGGAAGAGATTGGAGCTTGAAAATGTAAATAAACAATCTTACTTCTCCAAAAATCATCTTAAAAATGGTAAATATCTCTGATATTTACTTCCATGTTTTAAACATGGACAGGGTCAAATCTTTCTTATTTCCTATCTTTTATTCATGACAGACCTTGGGAGTTGTAGTTATTTAGAGCCATTTGGGTTGATAGGAAAATTGAGTCTCAGAGAGGCTTAACAGTTTGCCTAAGGTTGCACAGCCAGCAAGTCAGAGTATTCCAAGCTATCCTACCTATCTAAGTCTGCATCTTGTAATAAGATTCCTTATGTTTTACTTATATTTGAATTACCAAGGAATCTTGTTCAAAGACAGCCTTGGTTTCTGAAGTTCTGAGATAGAGCCTGGAATTCTGCATTTCTAGCAGCCAGGTGGTGCTGATGCCGCAGGCACAGGCATCCCACTTGGAATAGCAGGTATCTATATTGGGTACAGCCAACCTAAGCCTGTGGGCCAACCTACCCCTGCACTTGATGTGTATGAGCTAAGAAAGTCTTTTACATTTTTTCAATGGAAAGCAAATCAGAAATATTCCAATGCATGTGAAAATGATATCAAATTCAAGTTTCAGCGTGTACAGAAGGTGTTACCTGAACAATCCTTCGTACCTGTCATTATTTTTTCATGCTGTGGGAACAGAGTTGAGTTGCTGCCTGAACCTATGTGGGCCACAGAGCCCAAGATATTTAATTTCTCTTTCTTTACAGAAAATGTTGACTGCCCCTAATCTGT